ACTTCCCCGATGGACAGTGGAAACACTGTGGGCACAATCTATCTTTACTTTAGCAAAGCTTTTAACATGGTGCCCTGTGACAAAAAGTGTACTAGATAGAACATCTATTAGGTGGATCCAAAACTGGCTACTAAATTGGACACAAAGAGTGCTCATCAGTGGTACCTTCTTAAACTGGAGGAAGGTTACTAGTGAGGTGCCGCAGTGTTCAATCCTAGACCCAGTGCTCTTCTATGTCTTTATTAATATCTAGATGAGGAGGTACAAAGAACAATAATCAAATATGTAGATAATACAAAAGTAAGTGCAATGCTAACACCTGGAAGACAGAAACAAAGAAAGCCAGTCTTGAAAACAGAAAGAAGATCAAGGGTGATCTAGATAAGCTTGACTGCTAGACTGAAAGCAACAGAATGAGATTCAGTAGGGACAAATGCAAAATCCTCCACCTAGGAGAAAGAAGCCAGGTGCATTAATACAAGATGGAGAATACATGGCAAAACAGAACTGAAAAAGAACTCAGAGTAATTGTAGACAACAGGCTATATATGAGCCAATGATGTGATGCAGCCGCCAAAATGGCAAATGCTATTTTGGGATGCATTAATAGAAGTATTACTTCCAAATCATGAGAAGTAGTAGTTCCCCTAAATTCCTCACTAGTCAGATATCATATGGAATACTGTGTCCAGTTCTGGGCACCAAGATTTAAGAAAGATGCAGAAAGATTAGAAAAGGTCCAAAAGACGACAACAAAAATAATCCAGGGTTTGGAAACACTGCCTATAAGAGAGACACAGAGAACTGGGTATGTTCAGCCTTGAGAAGACTGAGGGGGGACATGATATCCCTCTATAAGTACCTCAAAGGATGTCACAAAGAGGAAGGTTAAGATTGCCTAGCGACAGTGACACATGCATTGGTTACTTCCCGATTGGACTTCTGCAACGTGCTCTACGTGGGGTTGCCCTTGAAGACAGTTCGGATACTTCAGATGGTGCAAAATAGAACTGCCAGGTTGCTGAAGGGGACGGGGCATTACTCTCACATAACCCCAGTCCTCTATCAGCTTCACTGGTTCCCCATTGAAGTCCGGGCTCAATTCCAGGTGCTGGTTATCACCTACAAAGCCCTTAACGGCTTGGGACCAGGATACCTAAAGGAACGCCTTCTTCCTATTTGCCCTCCTGCCTCCTGAGATCGGCAGCAGAAGCCCTCCTCCGGGAACCCTCTGTGAAAGATGTTAGGAGACAGAGTACCCGGAGGAGGGCCTTCTCTGCCGTGGCGCCCCACCTATGGAATTGGAATGCGCTCCCCAGAGAGGTCTGCCTGGAGCCCTCATTATTTGTTTTTCAGCGCCAGGCCAAGACCTTTTTATTTAAACAATATTTTAATAACTGTTAATATTATTGGTTTTAATTCTACAGCCAGGGTGAATCCTGATTTTATATGTACTATTTATATGCTTGTTTATTTATTGTATTGGAAGCCATCCCGAGGCTCATGCGAATGGGACGGCATACAAAAACTCCAAACAAACAAACAAACAAATAAATAAAATCTCTTCTCACTCATACCAGAATGAAAGGACACAGAATAATCAAGTTGCAACAACCAGGTTCAGGCTATATATCAGGAAAAGTTTCCTCACTGTCAGTACAAAAGAAGAACCAGTGGCCCAGAGAGAATGTGAAATCTCCCACACTTGAGACATTCAAAAAGAAACTGAACAGTCATCTGAGCGGGATGGGATAAATTGGAATCCTTCACTGAGCAGGGGCTTGAACCTGATGGCCTTCATGGCCCCTTCCATCCCTGCTATTCTATGATTCTGTTATACCCACAAAGCAACATTTGTATGCCGTCCTTTGTGAAAGCCTCAGGACGGCTTACAAATAAAATTCCACAATAGATAACAAAAGGGCTTTTTTTTTGTCATAGAACGCACCAGAATGGCGTTCCGGCACCTTTTTTTGACGGATTTTTCCAATGGAGTGATTTTGAATCGCCTGCGGGCTGCTTGTGTGTCCGTGCTGATTGTGAGGGCGCTGCTCGGCTTGGGATTGGTGTGTGTGGTTGTGCGCTGAGTGCTTACTGCCGGTGGTGACCATTGTGTTTTTGTGTGTGTAGAGTGACTGGCTACATGCAAAAGGTAAATAAGTTCTTTATTTCAAAAAAAGTTGGTGAATTGAAAATCTTTTTTAGTGTAAAAGTGTGACTCCAAGACATGAGTTCCGGCACCTTTTTTTTTTTTTTTTACAAAAAAAGCACTGGATAACAATATATAAATAGCATAAAACATTCCACAATATACCCTCTCTTAATTAATAAAAGTAATAAAAATAAAATGCAACTGCATATAAATTAGCAATCTTAATAAAATGATATTAGTTGTTAAAATGGAGATTAAATTAAAAGGTCTTTACCTGGTGCCAAAAGGAATAGAGGGTTGGCACCAGGCGGACCTCTCTGGGGAGCATGCTCCATAGCCTGGGTGCCACCGCAGAGAAGGCCCTCCTGCATGTGGATACCCTCCATACCTCCTTCAAGGAGGGTTCCTGGAGTAAGGCCTCCCCTGCGGATCTTAAGGGGCATGAGAAGAAGCGTTCACCTATAAATGCAGGGAGGTTCACCAGTAATTTTTTCTTCTGGATTGTCCCCATTCAGGGTTCATTTGCTGAAATGCAGTGGGAACAACTTAGGCAAGGCTGGGGAGCTTTGCAGTGGCTGGCCTCCTGTGCTTATCCCGTGTTCGCATTACAAAGGCAGGGTTCATTCCCTGCAACTGCCCTGTGCCACTGCAGGAGGAGGAGCCAGGCTCAGCGCTTCACCAACTCATGACTCGCAAGTCAGTGGCACCAATTGCTGTTGCATGTGGCAGCCGGCCTGAAAGGGGTCACCACCGCACCGTGGTGAATAATGGGGAAGCCTCTGACAGCTGCCCGTAAGTGTTTGGGCACTTTGGGGGACAGCTGCAAGCTGTGTGCACCAGTGGCTTCTTTTTCCTGTTATGGCCAAGTGGCTTAATTCTTGCAGGGCTTGAGCTACGATGCTTTATTCAGGTTCAGGGGACACAATAACCTATTGTGGATTAAATAAACCCTCCAAAAGACCACTGGTTCATATCATGGCTGCCAAAAGAGCTACTCGTTGGGAGCCATGAATAGGTATAAACCACCCTGGCAGCCCATTGCATGTAGAAGGATCTGTTTAACCCAGTATTGTTCACATCTTGATGGCATGTCAATATAAACCGAGTCAAGCAGATTCCTGGCAGATGCTAGCACCCCCAAGGGTTTCTCCCCTCCCCAAAACAATCAATTTTGGGCGTGCTACAGTGTTGTTGTTGTTGTTTACTTTAGTTGGGAAGATTGCAAAAGTCGGAGTCCAAGTGAGACTTTTCTCTGGCCAAGTCTTGATATCTATGCAGTTCATCTTAATCAAATGAGCATTTTAGTGCAACTCTAATTAATTTTTTTAAAGTTGCCTGCATTTCTGTGCACTAAAAAAAGGAAAGAAAAGAATTTAAACAGTCCCTGAGTGTCATTTGTAGCTGCTCAAAGGGGGATTACCAAAGCCGGTCCAAGAGCCAGCCAGCTTTTACAAGTGCCCAGAGGAAAAGAGCCCAAAACAGCTCAGAGTGGGGTGATGTGTGGGGAAGATTCATTCCTCCTGAGGTGTCCTCTGGGATACCTGTAGGGAAGAAGGGGTGAGGAGAGCGCTGGCAACCCAGAATGTGCCTGCTGCTTCACCCATATCTGTACTACAGTCTGGATTGTCATGTTGTCAACCTGGGATTCTAGCTATTTAAAACATTCACAAAAATTGCAGAATTGGGGAGCTTTCAAAATAATTATTATTTTTATATTTTTTGTAAAGAATAAGAAACAGAAAAGAACAAAAGCATCAAAAGAAAAAGTTACCAAGGGACTACGTACTAAAATTGTTTCTAAAATGAAATTCAAGAAGTTCCACAAAGAATTAGCAATAGACATTATTAAAACTAATAATTTCATATAGAAAATGCTTTAACATAGACAACAAGTAAACTATGCTGATTTTAAACAGCATTTCAAAATAAGCTCATATTCCAGGCCATATTTGGCAAAGGAAGTAATTAGCCCTGGCTTAAAGGCAAACATTTCACTCTTGGGGATATTTCAAGATTCAGCAAAGCAATCCCATATGAGGAATGCTACCTGTAGCTATACGCAATAAAGGAAAAGGGAGTAGTGAACCCTATCTTAGTTCCACAAGGGAGAACTAGGAACAGGGCAATACTCTCTACTGGGCGCTCAGGTTCCCTTCCAACCAACCCCTCCGCAGAAAAGTCCGGGCAAGATCCTCCCTTCCTTGTCTAGGATCTCGCTCAAAGTTAATACGCCTAGGCAGGGCTGCGAGCCCAAGCATTGGATTTCACTTCCTGTCACCTGAAGTCTTTTGTCTGTTCCTGCGTCCTGCTTAAGGGCACACCTGAAGCTCGGGCAGGCGGGAGTTAAAGGTAAGATCCGTCCACACGGAAGGAAACACCCTCGCCAGGTGAAGTTCAGCCGATGAGTCAGTTTCACCTGAAACTCTACAGGTAGGGAAGGAAGCGAAGGCAAGGAACAGATCGTCGCTCGGTGAGGAAGGGGGAAGAAGCAGAAGGGCGCTCGAGAGGGAGGGACGAAGGGGTTGTACTGCAGGCGCTGGGCGGAAAATCCCAGCCAGCCCCCTTGATTCTCCCCTGGAGGGACCGAGGCGGACGCTGCGGTTGCCTGAAGGAAGCGTCCCACCGACACCACCTGGAACTACTTTGGGGACAGGCAGCGCAGCGCGAGGGGGCTGGAAACGGGCGCTTGAACCTCCTCTGAGCGTTTCCCACCAGATGTGCGCGAGTTAAGGGGAAGGGCCAGAGGAGGACGTTGCTGAGAGGAGGCTTCCTCCGCTTTTCCTTGGCGATCTCTTTGTGCGCAGCTGGCGCAGCACCCTCGGCCGGGGAACCTCACTGGACGAAGAGGATGGCCCGAAGCCGCCACCCGCTCTGGGCCGCCGCACTGCTGCTCGTGCCGCTGGCCGTCGCCTCGCTGGTGCGCGCCCAGGAAGAGCCGCACGGGGGGACCCCTTTCGGAGAGAGCTGCCTGGCCCAATTCACAGCGGGCTTGCCCGAGTTTGTCCTGGACACGGACGCCTCGGTGGCGAACGGCGCCACCTTCTTGGTCTCCCCGGCAGTGGAGCGGGGCCGGGACTGCGTGCGAGCTTGCTGCATGGACCCTCGGTGCAACCTGGCCCTCGTGGAGCAGCTCCCGGGCGAGCTGGACGCCATCAAGGACTGCTTTCTCCTCGACTGCCTCTACGATCAGGCCTTCGTCTGTAAGTTCGCCAGGAAAGACGGCTTTCTCAACTACGTCAAGAAGGAGGTGTACGATTCCTACGTGGCCATGCGAGAACAAGGCGACCGAGGTGAGGGAGGCGGCACCTACGGGGCACGCGATGGGGGCGCACGCACACATGAGGGCGGGACAGAGCGACCCTCCCAAACAGGTGCTCTCTAGGTGTTGTGGGCTTCAGCTCCCATCAGCCTCAGCCAACAGGACCGACTGTCAGGAATCCAGGGAATAGTAATCCCAAGCAAACAGAGGGCACCAGGCTGGGGATAGGGATCCATCTTTCTTCCTCTCATAGTACTAGAACTGGGGAAGCCCTCGGTGGAGCTGATCCGGGTCAGGGCCATAAGGGTAGAAAGCACATTCATGGTGTGTAAGCCTATCTCAGAGGCTTCTAGTCACCGAGGAGCACTCTCTCTCCTCTAGTGACCTTCTTTAGCCAGGTGCCTCCAAATGTTTGTGGCTACAACTTCCCATTGTCCCTGATCCGTGACAGTGCTGACTGAGAATGATGGGCTTGTGGCCACAAACATCTGGGAAAGACTGAGCTACGGTCTGAGGTAGTACCCCTTTCAGTACCAGTGTGTGGGGAAGGCCTCTGTTCCTGTGCCTTGCTTACCACATCCTCAGAGCTTATCTGGTTGGTCACTATGGGAAATCAGCCTTTGAATTTAATTCAATTTAATCCTCTGCTTGTCTATCAAGAAAATATATCTCAAGAGGAACTTGACTTGCTTTTAACAAATTTTGGCCAAATGAATGGGAATGCTGGAGCAGTTCCGTTCCTGTAGTAAAACTCCATGTCTCAGAACAGTTTACCTCTGAAGAGCAGATGCTGGCCTAAAGTGGTGGGGAACAGACAAGCACCCAGGGGACACTTGGTTTTTGCCATAGGAAACAAATTTAAAAACAAACTAATTTAATTTAAACTGATGGACTTCAGTCTGATCCAGCAAGGTATTTTATATGTCCGGTTGTGTGTGAGACGGATATGAACATTGCTAAGGGTTTCTTTAAAATCCACTCTTTTCAACATTCCTTAATAGCTATTGGGACTTCTCCCTGAAAAAGGGCAATGCTCCCCAAAAAGACCCATTTTCTTTTACATTGCGAACTACTGGCCTCTTTCCATTTTATGACTTCCAATCATTTGTGACTATAAAAATCATTCACATGATGAAAATCCAACCCATATCACCTTTGGATGTGGTGGTGGGGCTAACAGAGCACAGAGGAGCAGTTCCATGAACTAAACTCTACCATTAACACTAGGCCTCTCTGCATGAGCTGGGCTTTGGCACACAAATGCACAGGCATTGACTTATGACCAAATACTACCCCAAGCATGGAGCATCTTTGAGATCTCTCTTCCATTTGTTCAGCATGTGGATCCTTTGGTGTTTTCCAGTTTCTGTAACTTGTTTCATAACTGATATAAAAAATACAGTCAGAAGAAAGAGGGTTTTGGTTAAGGATGGCATAAACCATGTAACAAATAAGGTGGGATAGAAGCATTAATATAGTAATTGGGAAGAATTATGTCATTTGGCTATCTTGCATGGTGCTGTTATACAGACTTACTGGATCTTGGTGAGTGGCTTCCATGCTGCTTCTATCACACGTGTTCACTGCCCTGCCTTCAAAAGAGCTCAGTGTAAGTTCCATGATGCTTCCACGGTTTCTCATTGCAATTGATTGTCCCATTAAGCTGAGCAAAGGATTTGAACCCAAGTTTCCGTGGCCTAAGTTCAACTCTTTTTTGCTGCACCCATTCTGATAACACACAGCTCAGACCTGAACTGTAGGATCAGCAGATATAGCAGGATAATTGGGATGTAATGCTTGCACGCATCTGAATTCTTATTTCTCCTTTGGCTGAAGTACATCTTGACTCCCTGGATGTCCAGTTAGTGTTGGGAGAGATGCAGCTTTCACTTTCCATAAGAAAGCTTTAAGACTGCTTTTCCACTGCAAGGCCCAAAGGCCACTGGCTCTTTGCCTCCCCTCCACACACTTTTGTAGCAGCTGCTCACACTTGGCAGGAGGTCTTTAGCTTTGCCTTGTTTGCTTTAGTGCAGAGCTGGGCGCTGTGGGTTATTGGAGTGGGTTTTGAGACTCATCAGCTGTAAGGTAATGGAGTGGGAAAGGAGATTCAGGAGCTATTAGTTATGGAGAGGAAGGGTTACAAATTATTCCAATGTACAGCATTCCTACTTAACTGGGGGGAGAACCCCCCCCCCATGGCCCAGGAATGGCCCCCAAGTAGCCTCAGTGGCATTGTGTGGCACCAAATTGATTTCTGCTTGAAAAACAGTGTCAGTGATTGCCTTAAAATGAAAATTCCTTGTTGTACATCATTTAACACATAAATTGGACTTCTGATTTCCAACTTTGAAAGCAAGATTTTGAGTGTTCCATTGCATGGAAATGGATGTCTTCTGCTGAAAGTCCTCTAACCCATATTCATTAGAAATGTTTCCAAATGTGTAAAGAAATCTAGACATAATGCATGAACATCATTAGGTTGATTTTTACATCATGTCTTCCTGAACCCAGAAAATTTTATTGGAGGAAGAGAAATGGTCTATATTTGGAGGAGTGTCCATACATCAGTGAAAGAGCATTGCATGCAGACAGTACTGTGGTTTTCAGTTAAAAAGGATCCTGTAACATGCGATTTGAAAGGCCTCTGCCTGTGACACTGGAGAGCCACTGCAAGAACAGTTAGTTTTGAGTTTAATGGACAAATGCTATGATTTGATTGCTTAGAAGGCCTTGCAGCCTGGAAAATAATTTACTACTATTATTACGCTGGGGATATTCGAAAGGCTCAGAGCTACTACTAGTGTTTGCTTGTGCATGTTCTACCCATACTGTTGTCACCAAAGAAATTTCCTCTACTGCTATTTCTTAAAGGATGGCAGAGTTAAGTGATTGATGTTACAATGTCTGTGTCCACATGTTCACCCTCTAGGAGTGCCATCCTTTGTTCAGACTGGAAAAAGTCCTTCAACTCCCAGGATGCCCACCTAGCCAGCCGGCTGGGGGGTGCCAGGAATTGTAGGATTTTTTTCCTGTCTAGATATGCATAAGATCACACCCTAAGGAACTATTTTAGACTATTTTTATGGAAACTGATTGAGCAAGTTTTTACTTTTTCAGTGTACCAGTGTACCATTGTTTTGGACTTTCACATCTCTAAATGTGATCTTTATTTCATTTTAAAATTTAAAAATTTAGCTGAAGCAATATGTTAACCTCCCCCATGCTCTCAAATAATTAGAGGAGAACTTAAGCATAGTGAAGGATGCTAGTTTAAAATTATTATTCACCACTTCATTCAATAAAATTTTTGTGGCTCCTAGACACTGTCTGAAGGTTCCCGATCTGTGCTCCAACTTTGGCCTAAGGATTGGAGCTCTGCCACTCTCTCCCATCCCTTGCAGCTGGCACATGCAAAAACATCCCAGCTGCTCTCTGAAGTTGGGAAAGTGACCTTAGAAAGGGATAGAGCGGGTCATTTTGGGGTAGAGGGAAAGGTCTGAGGAGGTATCCTGCAGCCCCTTCAACTTTCTTACTTCCACCTCAGAAACACCATCACTGGATAGCTAAAAGTGGTTATCTATCAAAAATGCAGAGCAAGAGGAGCAGGAGATATGGTCTCCGCAGCCCTTCCTGCTCTCCACTGGATAAGCACACCTTCAAGTTGAGGGACTTACATTATTTTCCATAGGATTACACCCTCTTCTGTTTTTCATCATATAGCCTGTAACTGATATGAGTCGAAGACTGTACACAGTAACCCTGATTCAGTTGAGGAGGAGAAAACCTGGACGACCCATATGAGCCTGCCATTGAGCAACTGAGGCCATAATTTCAGGTCTTCCTCTTGCAGCTGTCTGAGACAGGGCCTTTTGTTGGTGGCACCCTGATGGTAGAATATTTTTCCCAGAAATATTTGCTTGATGGTCTCCTTCCCTTTTTGCGCCCAAATTGTACTTTCTGTTGAGATGAACTTTGAGGGAAGGAGGTTAAGGGTTTTGTTTATGTCTATTTAGCTCTTGTCTCATTTTTATTTTGTGTTTTTATCTTTAAGTGTAGTGGTGTGTGTGTGTTAGAGAGAGAGAGAGAGAGAGAGAGAGAGAGAGAGAAGAGAAGAGAAGAGATGGCTGCTTTGGAGGCTGAATTGTGGAAAGCTGTGGTAGAAATATTTGAACTAAATCCAGACTAAAAGGACAAGGAATTGTATCTGGAATGTGACCAAAAATAATTCTAGAGCCCTGACACTTGAACTAGGTCAGGAGGTGTGGAATCCTATGGGAAATCTGAAGCTTGTTTGAACAGGACAGGTGGTGAGTGTATCATTTCCATTAAGCAGCAGGAAAGAGTTAGAATTGTAGGTGTGTTTCTAGGAGACTGGATTAACAAAGCCCCTGAGCAGTGAGATGACTTTGCCTATCCGGCAGGCAGTTTGCTATTTTTTTCTTCATGACTTTCTTGGGAACTTTGCAGGTGTTCTCTCTGCTTTATTATAGGAACCAGAGGAAGCCAACCTACTAGTGTTCACCTCTTGTCAGTACATACCATTAAAACCTAGTTTGCCAGTTAAGTGGTTGTCTTAGGCAATGCATGAAGGCAACAAACTGAGACAGTGGAGGTTACCTGTTTGTCTTGTATCAGCTCCTTCATGTCTTCAGGAAAAATATGTGCCCTAAATAATTTAATTTCCAAATATAATTGTTGGCTCTCTTTTAAAATAATTACTATTTAGTTATTTATTTGTTTATTACATTTTTATACCACCCAGTAGTCTGAAGGCTCTCTAGTTGCCCTTTAGCCTGTAGCTTGCAGGGCGAAGTAGAGCACAAATAAAATTGTACAAATCAAAATGCACAACAGCAAAAGGCCACAGAGGCTGAAATAAGCACCCTCGAACAGATCCTGAAAATTGTCATCAAACAAGGAGGCAAAGGATGCTCCTGCGACCCCGATCAGGTTAATTTCTTCCCCATCCAGTCTTGGGGCGAAACCAGATTTGCAGCTAATTGCCTGATGCAATTTGACCTTAATTGTGTG